TGACTATACTAAAGCCATAATCATCGCCACGGCAACCAGTGAAATAAAAAATGTTTACAGGGAAAACCTTGAAAGCACAAGTCATTTAAGAACAGACTTTAAGCATGGAGACAGTGCTGGTTCACCTGGAATATTCCACAGTATGGCATTAAATGTGTCCATCTTGCTTTATTTTTTCTCTTAGATACTGCATGCACGATCGCCTCTTCACAGATCTGACCTGGTGGTGTCACTTACTTGTCTCTATGGAAAAAAGAGAGCTTGAATTTAATGCCATGCTGAGGAACATTCTATCTACATCTAGAAAAGTTACACAGTGAACCTTTACTATCTTTTTTGAAGTATTGGGAAAATGGGAAACTTTAAAGCTTCTGTACCGGATTTGTCTTAAAAACGTGAAAAACAAAACTAGACTGGAATTTAAATGAAGTAAAAGTAGTACAATACTGCGCTTAAGTACACATTTGAGGTATCTGTACTTTACTTAAGTACATTTTAAAGAGGATACTTTCTAATTTTATTCACTTTTACTACATTTGAGAGCATGTATCTGTACTTTCTACCACATTAGATTTTTTAAAATAGAAAATACTTTTACCTTTTACTCTTTAAGTACATTTTAAGCTTTAATACTTTTACTTAAGCAGATTTTTTCATGCCGTAGCTCACTTGGTAGAGCGTTTGTCCACTGATCCAAAGGTTTGTGGTCAGAATCCCGCATCAATGGTTAGGTGTGATTCCAGGTCCCACAGATGAATGTTGTTGTTGTGTCCTTGGGCAAGACACTTAACCTACCTCCCCTCTAGTGTCTTTGTACACTGGTGTGTAAATGTGTGTGTGAATGGGTGAGTGGTTCCTTGTTATAAAGCGCTTTAAGGACCTTGGTGGTGGAAAAGTGCTGTATAAAAGTGTGACCATTTACCTTGTATATATAAGAAAGTATTTAACCACATACACTGTGCAGTTTTGAGCTCTTTTTGAGTAGATTTTTCACTTGTGCGACAATGTTTTGATGGGGCTGACTTTTGTCTTAATCGTGAGTCGTGCTTCGTGTAGTATACATGGAGTAACGAGAACCGATTAATACCTCACAACCAGCTCCTGAGCGGCAGTCATAGGTTGCAAGAATATCAAATCTGTTCCAAATCCAGTTGCCTCTTGCATCTGAGCATCTGATTGCGTAGTGTAAGAACATGAATCGTGAGCTGTGAACTTTTCAACTCTGCGATTTGGTCGTACAGTTTGAGCTGGGGCTGAGTGCAACGATCAAAAATATCACATATTGTACGTCGGGCATTACATGATACATATTAATCAGTTTTCTCTGACACATACACTACTGGTCAAAAGTTTTAGAACACCCTAATTTTTCCAGTTATTTATTGCAATTCAAGTTGTGCAAGTCCAGTGAAGAACTCGAAATGGTACAAAGGTAAGAACTGAACAGACAGAAGTTAAAAAAAAAAAAGATAAAAGATACAAAACACAAGTCCGAGCTCTGCCAAAACTACCTCAGGAAAAAAGAACAAGGTGGTAAACTTGAAAACATGAAGTGTCCAGCACAGTGTCCAGACTTAAACCCCATCGAGCTGGTTTGGGATGAACTGGACAGAAGAGTGAAGCAACCTACAAGTGCCACACATTTATGAGAACTTCTGCAACAGACTCAGGAAGAACTTTCTGAAGAATATTTGATTTCTATTGTAAAAAGAACGAGCCACGAGTGTGTTCAGCTGTTATATCTGCCAAAGGTGGACACTTTGATGAATCAAAAGTTTAGAACATGTTTTGGTCAACAGTAAACAGTAAAAAAACTGGAAGTGTGGTGTTCTAAAATTTTACAGTACTTGAGGATTTATTTTGCTCCAGCATCTGTACTTTTACTTAAGAGACAAAACTGAGTGCCTCTTCCACCACTGATTCAATGCATCTTAATAATGAGTTATTCACATAACTCAGAGACCAACTATGCTAACAGTACACTTCCTGATTCCCAGACAATAAAACACTTTATAATAAGACTTATTTCGACCTCAAGAGCTGCTTATACAATATATCTGTACTGTACTTGCTCAAATACATGGACAAAAAATGGATAGAGGGCCTTTAATATTAGTCAGGCTGGCATCACCTAGTGCCTCAGCTCAATTTCATTTCTCTCCAGCGACTAGGTCAGGAATCAGAATACACTAGATGGTTTGCAAGAACCCCAGAAGTTGTAGATGGTGCACAGGCCAATCAGCGAAGAACTGTGAAGCCAGGATGTCAAACTCAACACCTGTCTGGGTCCCTTTTGTGGTACAGCACAACAGTAAACAAAGCGTCGAGATGGATGTAGATGAAGCCAGACATTCTGTGTTCGGAACGATTCCCCAGGATCCAGAATTTAAAGCCAGAACAAAGAGAATGTTTGGTGAATTTTATCAAGGGGAAAAACGTTATTGCCCTTCTTCCTACGGGATTTGGTGCATTACCTACGTCACGACCAAACACCAACGATTGATTAAATACAAAAAAAGTACTCGCCTACCATCGAGCGAACGAATCCTAATGCTGTCAGACTGTTTCCTGAAGAGAAATTGGCTGATGAATGAGGCTACTGTAATGTGGGCTGGACTGTTAAAAGTCTTATATCACACAAAACTGACTCTTTAAGTCATATTAGAATGTTGTTACCCCCTTAAAAACAACTGTTACAGACTGGCGTCCGTTTGCGTGTATACATTGCGTGCATTAATTGTGTCTGTTTTAGGCCGTGGTTGGTTCGTGTATAAATAGGCCGCCTATCAGTGGCGTGTTTTTTTGCTCTTGCTCCTGCGCTCACTACGCACCGCCTCGCCCTCCGCACACCTGAGCGCACGCTCGAAGCTATGCGCGCTTCTTTATCCTGGCTGCTCGGCACAGGCTGCACCATGCCTGTTAGCTGTTAGCCTTTTGTGTTTGACCTGGTGGGCCCAGCTGTCCTGTTTTCGCCTTTTGTTTGGTAAGGTTAGTTTGGGGACGTCTTTTTTTCCTTTAGTTCCTTTTTTTCCTTTTTTTTACCAGCTTCTACGGCCCTGTACGGGATTGGCCCGGTGCCGTCATCATTTTGTTCTGTTTGGTCGGCTCACCAGGTCCACCTTTCAGTTGATACTTTGGTTTTGGGCGAGGGAGGGGTTTTAGCGTTTTTAAAGTAAATTAAAATTAACTTAAAAATAAAAACATCTTTTAATTTGTAACCTTTTTGCCTCCTGTGTCCTCATTAATATGTTTGATCCACCCGGGTCGTAACAACAACCCTGAGTTGTGATTTGTTTAATTCACACATGTTTAAGTAATTCTTTGTCATTAGTCTGTCTACAACTCCACAGCTCAAAATGCTCTGTTCCACCTTGTGATGTCATGAAGTGGTAGTTTTCAAGTGAACAGCTCCTTTCTACGTTTTGTTCAGTAGAAATAGGTGACGGATCAAGAAACAACATTAGAACATCAGAAAATAGAGTCATATGGGCCCTTTAAGCTCCTTTAGGAAAAGAGTAGAAACTGTTTAAAATATTTAGTTTATGATTTTTAAAAAAACCCACACATATTCATTTTATTCTCGCGTGTGTGTTGTGAGCGGCGATAAAGTAACACGAGTAAATCCGAGGATCATTGAAACAGCTGTGGAGCTCCTGGCTCCTGGCTCCTCGCTCTCTTCAGTGCACTTTCAGAAACTCGGCCCGTGAAATATGACTGACCCAGTTCAAAGTCCACACAAAGAGACGGAGAGAGGGAAGAGACGAGTGGAGGGGTGGATACGAGAGAGGAGGAGGAGAGGTGATGAAGAGAAAGAGGGTGAAGAGGAGAGGAGAGAGATAAGGGGGTGAGAGAGACAGAGGAGGGGGAGAGAGTGAGAGAGAGAAGGGGGGTGGGGTTGAGAGAGAGGGGGAGCGAAAGAAAGAAGGTTGGGAGAGAGAGAAAGTGGGAGAGAGTTGGGACAGAGGGAGCGAGACAGGTTAGAGACAGAAAGACGAAAAGGGTTGGGAAAGGAAGAGAGAGAAAGTGGTAGAGGGTTTAGAGAAAGGTAGAGAGATAGAGACGGAGAGGGTTGAGAGAGAGGGAGCAAGAGGGGGAGAGAGAGAAAAAAAGGGAGGGGGTTTTAAAAGACAGGGAGTGAGAGGAAGAGAGAGAGAAAGAGGTAGAGGGTTGGGAGAGAGAGGGAGCGAAACAGGTTAGAGAGAAAGAGGGAGAGGATTTAGAGAGAGAGGGAAAGAGAGAAAGAGGGAGAATGTTAAGAGAGAGGGAAAGAGAGAGCGTAAGAAGGAAAGGGTTGGAAGAGAGAGAGAGAGGGAGAATCTTGAGAGAGAGGGAGAGAGAAAGAGGGAGAATGTTGAGAGAGAGGGAGTGAGAGAGAGAAAGAGGGAGAATGTTGACAGAGAGGGAGCTAGAGAGCGAAAGAGAGAGAGGATTTGGAGAGAGAGAAAGAGGGAGAATGTTGAGGGAGAGGGAGTGAGACCGAGAAAGAGGGAGAGGGTTTAGAGAGAGAGGGAGAGAGAGAAAGAGGGAGAATGTTGAGAGAGAGGGAGCGAGAGAGCGAAAGAGGGAGAGGGTTTAGAGAGAGAGGGAGAGAGAGAAAGAGGGAGAATGTTGAGAGAGAGGGAGCGAGAGAGCGAAAGAGGGAGAGGATTTGGAGAGAGAGAAAGAGTCAAGTCAAGTCATTTTATTTATATAGCACATTTAAAACAACCATAACAAGTTGCACCAAAGTGCTTTACAGCATGAAACACAACATAGTGAAAACACTAACACAAATATAAAATATATAAAATATTACATAAACAAGTTACTTAATGCATAAAAATAATAGTTTAAAAGCTCATGGGCTGTTAAATGCCATCTTGAAAAAATGTGTTTTTAGGAGGGTTTTAAAGTGAGATAGGGAGGAGCAAGATCTCAGGGGAAGAGGGAGGGAATTCCAAAGCTTGGGGGCAACAACAGAGAAAGCTCGACCTCCCCTGGTTTTGAGGCGGGATGGTGGGATGGACAGAAGGTTGAGCGAGTTTGACCTGAGAGACCGAGAGGCTGTGTGTGGAGTTAAAAGATCAGTGATGTACTGTGGCGCAAGTGAGTTAAGTGATTTAAAAACAAATAATAACATTTTAAAATCAATTCTGTATTTAACAGGTAACCAGTGGAGTTGGGCTAGGATGGGTGTAATATGGTCTCTCTTTTTGGAACCGGTGAGCGTCTGGCAGCAGCATTTTGGATTAACTGTAACCTGTTGAGGGAGGATTGTGGGAGGCCTGAATACAGTGCATTACAGTAGTCCAGTCTATTTGTTACAAAGGCGTGAATGATTGTTTCAAAGTTATTGCATGATAGGATTGGTTTTAATTTGGCAATTTGTCTGAGTTGAAAAAAGCTAGTTTTAACGACATATGAGATCTGTTTGTCAAAGTTTAAAAGTGAGTCCATAAAAACACCAAGGTTCTTTGCTGAACTGTGCAAATTTGTGGCAAGAGGTCCAAGGTCAGATGTGAGGGTGTCAGTGTTTGGTCCAAATAGAATAACTTCAGTCTTATTTTCATTTAGCTGGAGAAAGTTAAAGGACATCCAGTTTTTTATTTCCGCAAGGCAGGTATGGAGGGTAGCACAGGATGAGACATTTTTTGGGGAAACAGGAAGATAGAGCTGGGTGTCGTCAGCATAAAGGTGGTACTTAATCTGATGTTTTTCTCTAGGATTGAACCCAGGGGGAGCATGTATAGAGAAAATAAAAGAGGCGCTAAGATGCACCCTTGGGGCAGGCCGCACGTGACAGAAGCAGGGGTAGACAATCTCTCACCAACTTTGACTGCAAAGGATCTTCCTGACAGATATGATGAGAACCATTTTTATAAGAGGGAGAATGTTGAGGGAGAGGGAGTGAGAGAGAGAAAGAGGGAGAGGGTTGGGAGAGAGAGGGAGCAAGAGGAGACGAGAGAGAAGGGGTAGAGGGTTTGGAGAGTGGGAGCGAGATGGGGGAGAGATAAAAAGAGAGACAGTTGGGAGAAGGAGGCAAGAGAGAAAGAGGGAGAGAGTTGGGAGAGAAGAGGAGACAGAGAAAGAGGGAAAGGGCTGAGAGAGGGGGGAGAGAGAGAAAGAGGGAGGCTCTGGGAGGGAGAGGGAGCAAGAGGAGGAGAGAGGAAAAAGAGGGAGAGGGTTGTGAGAGAGAGGGAGAAAGAGAAAGGGGGAGATGGATGTGAGAGAGGGAGGGAGAAGAGAGGGGAGAGAGTTTGGAGAGAAAGGGAGAGAGAGAAAGAGGGAGATGGGTGTGAGAGAGGGAGAGAGAGAATGAAAGAAGGAGAGAGTTGAGAGAGAGAGAGAGAGAGAGAGAGAGAAAGAAAGAGGGAGAGGGTTGGGAGGAGAGAGAGGGACCAAGAGAAAGAGGGAGAGGGTTAGAAGTGAGAGGGAGCGAGAGAAGGACAGAGAGAAAGAAGGAAATGGTTGGGAGAGAGAGGGACTGAGAGAGAGAGAACGAACGTGAGGGAGAGAGAAGGAGAGAGAGATGGGGTGACAGAAAAAGGGGATAAAGGAGAGAGAGGAGATAGAGAGATCAAAAGCAGATGAGATAGAAGTAAGGGAGAAAAGAGATGGGGTGAGAGAGAGAGTAAGAGAGAGGGAGGAAGACGGGAGGATTGATGAAAGAGAGCTGAGAAAGAGAAGATAGAAAGGGGTAAAGTAAAGAGAGAGAGAAATGGAGAAAAAGGTGTGTCCGTATTATGAGCAGTGGATCTGAGGGAAGAAGTGGATGAGAGAGAGAGAGGAAGAAGGAGAAAGAGAGGGATTGGGAGAAAGCAAGTGAGGAGCTAGAAAAAGACCAAAAGCAGTGGAGAGAGAGGTGAGGGAGAGGGGAGAAAAGAGTGAGAGAGAGAAAAGAAAGAATGTTAAGTATCCATTATGAACATTGTGATCTGATGGAAGTAAAGGAAGAGAGAAAAGGGAGGTAGGAGAAGAGAGAGAGAGAGAGAGAGAGAGAGAGAGAGCAGAAATGCAGGAGAACTGTGTGTCCATCCAAAGAACATGTGTATCAGAGAAAGAAGGGAGCAAGAGAGATAAAAATAAAAAGGTGTGTCCAGCTGAAGACCATGTGTATCAGAAAGAGAAGGGGGGAGGTAGAGACAGAGGGAGAGATAAAAAGAGAGATAAAAAGGTGTGTCCATTTGAGAAGAGTGGATGTGAGGGAGGAACATTCCAGGAGCAGAGGAGTGGAGCTGACCACACACAGCAGCAGTCACACAACGAGGCACGCTGGAAAAGAAAAGATACTCTCTGGGCTACACTTACACTAGAAGTATCTATTGTGATCACTACTATCTATCTATCTCAGATCAATCTATCAATCTCTCTCTCTCTCTCTCTCTCTCTCTATCCATCCATCTACAGCAGGAGTTTTCACACACACACACACACACACACTCAGGCCTTTGAAGTAAATGCATCTATAGTGTTCCTGGCAATGATGAGTTTCAGTAACTGATCATTTAAATATTGTATTTTCTTTTCTCTTTTTTTTGCATTCATGCATTCAGTACATGCAAAAACAATTTTTGCAACAGCAAATAATTTCCAACTTCATGCAGACCTAATTGAGGTAACTTTTAACATTACTGAACATCAGTAGGACACCAGGACTAAACCAGGACCAGGACTAAAACAGGAAACCAGGACTAAACCAGGACTAAACCAGGTCTAACCTTGGACTCTTGGAGATCTTACACAGAGAGAGAGAGAGTCTGTGGAGCAGGGTGCCTGCAAAGCTCAATCAGGTGACGGCTGTGCTAAGATCAGCTTAGCTGGTTTAGTCCTGGTTCAGTCCTGGTTCAGTCCTGGTTCAGTCCTGGTTCAGTCCGGTGTCCTGGTTAGTCCTGGTTCAGTCCTGGTTCAGTCCTGGTTCAGTCCTGGTTTAGTCCTGGTTCAGTCCTGGTTCAGTCCTGGTTCAGTCCTGGTTTAGTCCTGGTTTAGTCCTGGTTCAGTCCTGGTTCAGTCCTGGTTTAGTCCTGGTTCAGTCCTGGTTCAGTCCTGGTTCAGTCCTGGTTTTAGTCCTGGTTCAGTCCTGGTTCAGTCCTGGTTTAGTCCTGGTTAGTCCTGGTTTAGTCCTGGTTCAGTCCTGGTTTAGTCCTGGTTTAGTCCGTGTGTATCGTTCCTTCCCAGTGGCTCTTTGGTGCCTCCCAGGGGAGGAGGACCACACCTTTTGAAAACCGTTGATCTACAGGATGTAACAGTAGCACATTTTGGAGTGTTCATCCACTGATCTAAGGTTGCCAGTTCGAATCCCGCTCTTGGGTCCTGGTCTGATCCAGGTCTATTGATCTATTGATCATCTATCAAATAAAGTAAAATGTTCTTAACTTAAGTGATTTTAACTTACCTAGATATTGTTTTTTGTTTTTTTTTTTGTTTTTTTTTTCAGTTTATCTAATCTATCTATCATCTATCTATTATTACTATCTATAGTTATGTTGTAAAATAATAATTTCTCTTTAAATGAACAGATGCATGAAGTGAATGTAGATGTTGTATTCTAACATCAAATATACTTGTTATGTATTCAATATATACAAAATAAAAAGCAGTAAATTGTGTCAGTAATGACTGTTTAATAGTTTTATTGTTGACAGTAATACTTGCAGTGGTGGAACATAACAAAGTATGAAGTGTAGTCATCAAGTATAATTAGGTACAATATCTGTACTTTACTTAAGTACATATTTAAGTGGATACTTTTTTCCTTTTACTTCACAACTTTCTACTCCACTACATTTTTGAACAGGACTGAAAATTAAAAGGATATTTTATTATAGTTTGAGCAAACACAAAACATACAAAATAAAAACAGTTAGAACAAAACTATTGATTAAATTGTTTCTGCTGACAAAATTCTGCCCAAATCTTCATTAAAATCACTGAATTTAAAGTTTTATTAGATCTCAAAATCTGCACAAAATATTTTCACTTTTTACTCTTAAAGAACATTTTTAAACAGGTACTTTAACGCTTTTACTTAAGTAGATCTTTTTTAATGTGATACTTTTACTTTTAGTTGAGTTTTTTTTTTTTTTTTTTTTCTCCAGTATCTGCACTTTTACTTTAAGTGGAGGGTCCGCCACCTGCTTGTCTCCA